GATTAATCAGTGTGTCATAAAACAAATGCATAATATATAGCAGATTGGCTATCTTTACTCTCTCTGTTTCATTAGTTCATACACCACTCATTTTTATAATTATTTGCATGCCTGTGTCACTCTCCAGACCACTTATCAGATCATCACTTCCTTCACTCTAATACTAAGTAAAGTCAATTGACCTTGCTCTATTACATGGTAATCACCTACAGGAATTGTGTGCACAACAACTCATCAAAATATGATTTTTTTTTTTTAGTGTGGGGAAAGGAAAAAATGAAATCAAAGAGTAGAAGTAGGAAATACCTGGAGAGAAAAATTCCACGGAGTATTCGGAAGGATATTCATCATCATTGTACTAGAGACTTACTTTTGGGAAAGAATGAACGAGGCCTCTCCTCTCTGCAATTCCAGTTTTGGAAGTTCTGGCTGAAGTGTTTAAACAGGAAATAGTGGCCTGTCAATATCATTAAGACTCAACTTGTATGACAGTCAATCCCAGGAAATATTCCATGAAAATAATCAAAATCCTCCGCAAAGGTGAAGGTTACTGGCTGGGCACACTGATGCCCCCCTGAGAACAGCCTCAGGTCCTTCCGGAATCCGCGGCGTGGCGCCACCTAGTGGACAGTGATGCAGCTGCTACAGTTTGTTTTTCACAAAACCAGAAAAGCATAGAAACGAGACCATAAAACAGCGCTTTTCTCTGTGATATCAAGTGACTTTAATTTCCATTTTTTAATATTTTTGAACTTTCCAAGCTTTTCACATTAATGGCAAATTATTTTTCTCTTAATCACAAAACGATTTTCAAAGACATTTTTCGGCTTTTACCTTCATCCCATCATATTGTGGCTTCCAAGATGTGTGTCCCAAACCCGTTGACAAATCCTGGGAACGGGAATTGGCCCACTTCATAGTCAGGGTGTGCACTTTTATCCTCACTCCTCAAGTGCCTCTTCACCAAAGGCGCTGGAGTCCGCCTCACCTCAGATTTAGCAACCAGAAAACGGGAAAAACCTGCGTCCACGGTTAGGAACTGGGGGCGTCAGATAGCTCTTCAATGGAAAGCAAAAATCTTCCACCCATGTTTTAAAAAGCGATTCACTTGCTTGTCCAGCAGATGGCGCAGGTTTCCATTTACTCGCTCCCTGTGGCGTTACCAAATAAAACCTTGTCAGAAAGAGATGGCCTGGTGAGTTTATATTTTTTGATTGCTGAGTAATAGTCCATCGTGGAGATGTACTACATCTTCTTGATCCGGTCGTCTGTTTTTGGGCATTTGGGTTGATTCCACATCTTGCTTACTGTAAATATTGCAGGAATAAACTGAGGAGTGCAGGTGTCCTTTTGAATTAATGTTTTTGTGTCATTTGGGTAGATACCTAGGAGTGGGATTGCTGGGTTACATGGAACAAAATGG